CTCACACTGTCCACCTCCCTTGGCACTCCTCTTGCCTTTTCATTTCCTATTTTCTCTTGCATCCTCTGATGGCCAAAGCTTTTTCAGACACATTTTCTTCTGAATTTTGCTCCTTAGCAAGAGAACACAACCTCTGCCAGGGCTGTCATAGAGACTCAGTATTCTTCTGGAGGCCCAAGAGTCTTGAGGATGAACACAAGGTCCCAAGTTCTGCAGTTGTCTCCTCATTCCCGAGTCAGGATGAGGAATGCGTTAAAGTCTGAAGCTGGTGAGGTTTGTGATTAGGACAAGGACACTGTGAGCAAAATTAAACCAGTTAAACATAGTGACTTTCTTCAGCTGCAGAGCTTGAAGGTCTCACCTACACTATTCACAGTTTTTTTGGTCTTTTCTGAAGTGTTTTAATAGTGTAAAACTTTTTGTATCATCAGTAGGTGCTGAGGACTCTGATTTCCTGTTTGTCTTTTACTTGACAAGAGAAAAGCATTTTCTATGAAAATACTTCACAAACTGTAGAGAACTAACAGCTAAGACAATGGTACAATTCCACCCTCTGCACATCTGGTTACATCTCTTCAGCAACTCCTGCTGTGCAAATGTCTATTTGTAGGTTATGTTGCTAAATTCACTTCCACACTCACTTGTATGTAGCTAATCTCCTTATTCCCTCCCTGCTTTACCAATTGGTTCCCTTCTTTGATCATTCACACCCGTAAGTGCACTTGGATCAGCTCCGATAGTACAAGGAAGCAGTTTTTAAGATGAGCTAACAAGTGAAATGAACACTATGTACACGTAACTGCTTTTGATGTTTCCTCATCCTTATTTTCCTTAAGTCCAGTTCTGTTTTTCTTGACATAGCTGCTTCGATTTTGAAGTGACAGAATAGAAAGTCAGTCCAGTTGTACATTCACCTGTGATGTTTTACTGAAAGAGTGAAATAACCATGGCATGATGTCCTCACTGCCTCCTCCTCCTCCTGAACAGGAGCCAGCTTGCATTCCTGACGCATGTTGGCCTCCTGGTCTTCACTCACAAACAGGGCACATTGTGTATGTTCCACATTAGACAGCCAGAAATGCTTCAGGACTCATTTATCACAGCCAGCTGTGCTCTTCATTACGTGCTCCCCCTCACCCATCAGGGCTGGAGCATGTCACTGCCAAACGAGGAATCGGTAGGGCTGGAGAAAAAAGGCAGTCAAAGGAGAACACAGTTCCCTGTTCTCCTTTGTTCCTCATAAACTCATGTCAACAACTGCATTGGTAGCTCTGTGGTGCCCAGACAGGTAACTGCACAAATATTTACTCCAGGCTCGGCTGGATTTTTCCAATCCAAACATATTCTGTGGCCTTGTTACCAGCATCGGAGCCAGCTGGTGCAGAACTACCTGGACTGTGTCCACAGCAGCTAAATGAGTCTGGACTCGAGTGTAGACATAGTCTGTGTTAATTCACTTCAAAATAAGAATGTTCTACTCCTGATCTTGCTCACGTGGGCACATTCCTGCCAGTTCAAACAGCTCTTACCTCACCTGGCTTTGCTACTGGTGAAAGACAGGCTGAATAAACTCACAGGGATGAGACGCTGATCATCCAAGGCTCCCTCAAGACACAGTGGAGACCAGGTCAGAGGAAAGGCTCTGGAGCAAGGAGTAGCTCTCCTGTCTATGCTGCTGCTCTCTGCATTGGCCCAGTTCCACATTCACCCACCACTTCCCTGGCTGTGGTGCTGGTCCTCAGCTGCTCCTTGGCTAGTTGATTCACCTTGTTGTACCAGGAGACAAGTAACCCAAGGAGGTGAGAGGAGAGGGAAGGGCAAAAGGGATTATTTTTCACTTGTTATGAGAGCTGAATCAGTTCGCCATGGGGTTAGGTGGGTGCCAGAGCCTATGCAGGACATGGGAGGGACCACACATCCAGCAGTTTGGGTGGAGGGGAAGCTGACCCTTTGAGCACCAGTAAGCTGCTGAGCCATCTCCCGACATGGCAACTTTAAACATACAAGTGTGTGCTGCAGAGGAGCCTGTCTCTCTCCATCCGCTGCAGATAGCCCTGTGCCCTCTGATGGGAACTTCTTGGGAGAGCAGGTCCTTGCAGGTTGCTGTAGGGAGACAAACAGCTAGGTGAGAAGGACCCGGGGGACCTTGTTTCTGGATCTGCAAGTCAGGCCTTGTGGTTCCTCCTCTGGCTTCCAAAGGAGCCCTGAGGAAGCAGCATTGTATCTGGCTATCCTGGGCTTCATTTAATGTCAGTGAGGCAGACAGTGGTGACATACAAATAGACAGAGGTGACAGTAGTGATACTATAATTGCAAAGAGGTGCTGCTGAGGGTGAGGATTGGAAACACTTGACTTCTATGGAAAATGAGAATTGAGCAAAGGGTAACATCTCAGGGTATAAAGTGACGTTTTGGGCCACATATTCAAGAAAAGAACATGTGCAGACAACTGTCAGGAGCACATAAGAGCTGCTGCTCTTATTTCCTCCTGGATTTTTCCTCACTGGTGCCCTTGACCAGGTCCTTTAGCCCAGCAGGAGTCACTTGAGGCAGAGGCAGGGAAGGCAGTAAATTGCTTTCCTGAATGGATCTCTGTGCTTACTTTGGATAGTGTGTGATCCCCCTGAGTACTTGCTGAAACCTGATTTGCTTGGCACTTGAGAGTGATTTTTGGAACCTGGCTGAAGCATAGAGAAACACCAAATAACAGATATTAAGTATGACCTGGCCAAAACCTTTGATAGAAGCTTTTTTGTCTCTGTGGGAGATCTCTGGAATTAGGCGTTGGAGAGCACCAGAAAACACATCACCACAATGAGGAGAATGCATTGCTGAATTAGTCTGAGATGTGTTCATTGAGGAACCTCTGAAGGTGCAAGGCCAGGGCAGAATTATGTGCTTTTTTTCATGCAAACCAACAGCCCTGGGCTTTTGCTCACATATGCTGCCACCTATATATCAGTCACTAATTTAGAGAGTAAAAAAATACAGTACAGAACCAAATTGTCATATTTTCTCCTCTTCTCCCTTTTTAAATTTGCCATATGCTCTCAGCTAATATGATTAGTAATTCCCAAGTATGTGGAAAACACTTTGTTCTAGAATAAAAAAAACCCACAAAACTAGTTTACAAGTTATTTTTTTAAATAGATTAATTTTCTACACTTAGAAGGAAGTAATAGCTACTAAAACACTGGGAACATCTTAACTCTATCAACTGTTGCAAACTGCAAAATGTGAAGTTTCAGCCCACCCAGACAGATGTTTTTCATGCTTCTGTATTTGCATATCAGAAAGACGTTCATTTTTCTCCCTCAAATGACATGTGTAAAATGAATCCCAAAGCAGAAATTATTGTAAGGCTTGAAACTGGCTTGGAAACCTTCTGGCCAAGGTGATTGAATCCTGGGAAACTCAGGGAGCGAAGATTTTTATTACAGTGCTTGGGGGGGGAAGTTGTTTATTCCTGTTTTTTTGTTGTTGTTCCTCCAGGGAAGTTGATTTCCTGCAGGAGTATGAGCAGCTGCAACAAAATACCAGGAAATCACTGACCAAGCAGTGCATGTAAAAATCTCAGTGAACAAATTAAAAACAATAGTGGCTAATTAAAAAGTACCAATGGGAAGTCCAAACATTTGAAAAACCTATTACAAAACACTCTGGCACCTTTCTGACACGGATGGAGCTGGCATTGCAGAACAGCCTTCTCACCTGTCTCGCTGCCGTCCCAGGGTCCCACGCTGGAAGAGTTGTTTTTGGACATTGCACGCTGCTAATTAATGCTGAAATTCTAACAATAGAACATTGTGTCTATCCAGGCACTTTTTAGGAGCACAGGGTTTTTTTTTTCCTGGCTTCTTGCAAGTAAATTAAGGCTCAAGCTCGGATTCACTGTCAGCCTGGCATTCCAGTAAATATTAAGTTGCTTTTAATTGATACCTGTTATTTTCTCCTCTTGTTTTCAGAGCCGACCTCCTGGCTCAGAGGCAGTAAGTAGCTTGCAGATGCATGCTGGGAAAGCAAACGCCCTGCAAAGTGAGGTCCAGGAGACATGGGAGAAGGTATCCTTCAAGGAGAAGCCGAATGAAGCAGAGAGGCTCAGCATCAGGAACAAACTCCAGGATCAGATCGGCCAGTGGTGCCTCGAGTGCCGGTGAGGGGATAGAAACAGTTGCCCCATAATCACTCCATTTGCCCTTAAGAACCTGATTTTGCAGTTCTTACAGACTGCAGAATCCATCCTAAGGTAGTGATGCCTGTCCCAGCTGAGGAGCTAGCTCTGCACCAGCTGCAGGGCCACGATCCTGAGCAGCAGGACTCCTGCCAGGGGAGACCAGACCAGAGCATCACCCCTTGCAGGTATCAGAGGTGCCCCTTGAAGCACTGACTGCAGCTCAGGTCCGCAGACACTAAAGTGGAGACATCTTCACTCTGCACATTACCTTGGGTTCTGTCTTTGCAATTCTAAGCAGCATACTTTAAACTTTAGGACCACTGACTTTTTTCCCATCTGAACATGTAAGGTTTAGGACCGAGAGCTCACTCTTCCGTGAGAGAGCAGCGTAATTATTTGCCATAGCAAATCATATCATGTCACTGGGTCTGCAGCCCAGGTGCCTGCTGCTGGCATTATCCAGCAGCCCACATGACTCTGAAGTACTTTTGTACTTGAGGCCTGACCTTCGAGACACTCCTCCAAATGTCACTTTGCTTAGCAGTGGTGCTGATCTTAGTGAAAACTTCACATCTCAGTAGAGTTTAGCACGTACTTAGACATTTTTCAACTGAGTGCTGACACCTATAGTTCTCTCAGGAAGTTTACTTTACCCAAAAGAAGTTTTGAGACTGACAGTTTTCATATGGACACACTGTAAACCCTTGTACTATAGATTAGTTTTATGATAGAGGTAATTTTTTTCCAGGATTTACCCCACCTGGCAGGTTAGTATGTAAAAGGAAATTGGGAGGCAGTGCCCAAAACTTCCAGGATTTAGCAGCAAGGTTTAAGCTGCTCTGCATAAAACTGCTCTGCAAAAACACTTGCAGTCTTACTGTGTCTTGAGCTGCTCAGTGATGTTGCAGGGCTTGTATTTGTCTTGTGGACTAGTGTCACGTCCATTAATCACTCAGCATTGTTTTCAGTGTACTGGACCTGCCTTCAACAGCATGCAGATTCCAGCTGGAAAGACAAATACACTCTGATGTAATCCTGCTCTATTTATCTCTTGACTACCTCAATCAGGTCTGTGCTACGGTGAAGGGTTTGTAAATAAATCAGAAAGGGTGATCAAAAATAGCACTCTCACAGATCTGCCCCAATCTGTGTCTCTTCTTTCCTGTACTTCTGCCTCCTAGAGACACACAAGACTCCCGTGTATTTTTCCTCTCAGTTAGAAAGCACAGCTGGTTTCACAGACCTCAGTTACTGCAAAGCATTTCCCCATTCCCTAAATCCACCCTGCTCCTATGGCCCTCTGTACACACTCCTTGAGCTGCCATTTCCCGCTGTTCCACACAGCTCCCAGCATGTTCTGAGGGACTGAAAGATCTGATATTTGCTTAATATCACTCACTAATAGTCATTCTCTAACATAGGTCAATCGTGTCCAATTAACTTGGCCCCAGAGCTTGAGGAGAGCTCACTGAAACACTGTGTGAACCAATAACAGTGTTTCTGCAGGAGATTAGCAGAGAACAGGCAATGTCCCAGAGAATAAGGCTGAGCCATAAACCCCTTTAAAGACAGTTATGAGACATTATTACAAGCTAAATCCATTCCACAGAGGCACTTAACAGCAGAGCCAACCAAGAGCCTAACCAATCCAGAGGATCATTTGGAGAAAGCTAAAGTCGTCATTCAATCGAGAGAGGTGGGGAGGGATGGCTGAGTGAGCAGTGCTACCTAATGGATAGGAATCCTCATTCTCATGTACCTCTGAAATACTCTGAAGGTGTAAATTGGGATGTGAAATGCTGAGCTCTCATTCAGTAGCCCTTGCAAGTGAAATGGGACCTCCTTGCCGCATATATATCCCAGCTGTGCCTAGGGTTCAACTTCAGGTGAGGCTTCCAGGCTAGAGGCAGATGTAGTCAGCATCCCAGCATATAAATAATCCTAGAATCATAGAATTTAGGGGTTGGAATGGACCTTACAGATCATCTAGTCCCAACCCCCTGTCCTGGACAGGGACACCTCCTCACTAGATCAGGTTGCTCAAGGCCTCATCCAGTCTGGTATTGAACACCACTGGGGTCGGGGCAGCCACCATGTCCCTGGGCAACCTGTTCCAATGATTAAATAAGTTATAATGTGTTCTTTAGCTAACCTTTGAGTTGTCTGGTCTGTCTAGTCAGGTTCAGTAGGCTTGAATCTCTTCTAGACTGGAAAACTAACGTTAATTGAATGCAAGCACCACATTAAGTGCTCCTGGGCAGCTTTATGGATATGCTTTTCCCAAGCAAGGGGTTATATTAAATGGGACTAGGATATACATACACACGAAGTGCTTACAGACAAGCCTTTAGTCAGACCTGCTGTTCTGCTGCTGCAGCAACAGACTGAGGAAACAGCTCCCCGTCAACCTGGTCCAATAAACCAGACACCTGAGACTATCTCATACTGACAAACTGAACCAAAAAGCAGTGTTAGGCTTAATCAGACCATTTTGATAGCAAATGGTTAAAGATGTGCAGTTCTGTGCTATGCCTGAGTGCAGGGCCATTGCTGATGGCAGAGGGCAGTGACAACAGCGTGTTTGAATCACAGGGTAGTTTGGGCTGGAAGGGCCTTAAAACTCATCCCGTTCCACCTCCTGCTATGAGCAGGGACACCTTCCCCTAGCCCAGGTCACTCAGAGCTCCATCATATTCCCTTTACTCTTTTCCTTCAAGTTAACTATCCATCATGATCCCTAAAACCCAGTAAGTATGGCATGTTTCAGCCAAGACTAGCCAGATCTCATTGATAAAAGCTGATGATTTAGCAACGTGGCAGATGAAGTTCTGCCCCTGATGAAGCCAGTGGGAGCACTGCCATCAGTTGCAGCACAGGCTGAATACCAGCCAGTGTGCCAGCTCATTTCCACCTGGCTGGGTGATGCGGTGATTTGTGGAGCTGAGAGGAGGCAGAGTGAGCTGCCTGCCATCCTGTCTTCACAGGAGCCTCTAAGTGGCCAAAATCACTTTCCCCACAGACACATTCGCAGGCATCCAAAAGAGGTTTTAAAAAATGACTCAGCAAATTTCTGTGTGAGGGTATGGTGTGTGTGTCTGCAGAGCCAAGCATTCCACGTGGTGTACGCCAGAGACACTGCAGAATCAGCAGCAGTTATGT